GCCGGAGCGGGCGCCTTCGGGTGCAGCCTATGGCTCGCACACTGCTCACCCCGCGCGGGTGCGGGAGCGCCCCGCCTGCGGCCCGGGGTCCCGGGGTCCGGGAGTCCCGGAGCGCGGCCCCCGCAGCAGGTCGCCCGGAGCCGGCGGCTGCCCCTGAGCTGGAGGAAGATGCTGGACTTGGGGATTTCGCACGCCATGACGTATTCATGCCTCTGTCCTCCGGGTCCCGGGCTGGATGGGCGGCTCCGGGAGAGGGGGCCCGGGGCGGGGCTGGGCGGTGAGTCCTGCCGCCGTCCACCGTCCGCCGTCCGCTGTCCGCTGTCCGCCATCCGCCGGGGAATGTCCCTCCCCGGAGGGAGGCGCGCCCCCGCCCGCGCCCGGTTAGTGTCAATAGACCTCAGTCTTCCGCGGGGGCTGCGGGGAGCAGCCTGAGCCACAATTTAACACCCTACAAAAGGGCTCGGGGAATATTTTCCGCTGACTTTTTTTTTTTTCCTTTCCTAATTTCTCAAAGTCGTTTAAGTATTGAGAATTCATATTTCAGTTCTTAGTGATACATTCGGAATTACTTTAGCTTTGTTCCATCCCCTCATCTTTTTTTAAAATATGTATATTTTTTATTGATCTCAGGAAGGGAGAGGAAAAGAGAGAGAGAGAAACATCAATGATGAGAGAGTCATTGATTGGCTGCCTCCTGCACATCCCACACCGGGCTGGCAACCTGGGCATGTCCCTGACCTGGGAATTGAACCCGTGACCTCCTGGCTCATAGGTCCATGCTCAACCACTGGGCCACACTAGCCGGGCCACCCCCTTGTATTCTTTAAGCCAGTTCATATCCCCTTTGAGTTTTTTTAACCTAAGCATGACTTGCTATCAATTCTTAGTTGAGTAAATATTCAGTCCAGACCTAGTCCATTCCTTCCTAGTTTATTTCTCTTCAAGATTTAAATTTACTCTTCCTTGGAATACTGAGAAATGGAATGTGATAGATGCTGGACAGAATGTCCCTTTGCCATCTGTTACTTAACTAAATATATCGCCCTTTCGGCCTTTGTGTTAGTGTGTCTAATTTAAATTAGAAACAAACCAAGGAATCATGGTTTTTCAGATGGTACTTGGTGTCTTTGGTAACCCAGTAAATGTTTACCAATTAGAAAACTAAACAAGCGAGGCAATTTAAGTATCTTTAACGACGAAACTAAAAGGAAGTAATGATGGGCATGTTTTATTTTCATATATTGGAAGTTTTTAAGCTGTTAGACGTATATTCCTTTAAATGCTATTTGAAGGCTGCCAGCAATTTAATCAAAGGGATAGTTTAAGCCTAAAGGTAGTACAAGAATAGTGATTTAAATGGATTTATGGAACAGTACTCATACATAATGTAATCCTTCTTGAAAATATGTCAACATGTTGAACAGCGTTTCAGAACAGATGGGGCATGGGCTTGGAAGGGGGTTTTGAGTAAAGAGGCTGTGCCGGGTGGGAGTGGCCTGGCACACTGCAATTGTCATATTTTCCAGGATGCCTCTTCCTGCTTGTCTTCTTGAAAAGTAGAGGGATTTCCTACTCTTCACTAAGGCAACGTAAGTCTATTAAGAAACAAATCTATTGCACATCTCCACTTGAATCCCCAAAGGCACCTCAAACTTAGTCTGTCCAAGGCAGAATTTATCTTTTTCTCGAAACTTGCCTGTCTCGTTCACCCAGGCCCAAGCCAGAAATCTAGATTTTTCCCAGGAAACCCTCCTTTTGGCCACTTCCAATTCAAAATTAGCCACCATGTCCTACTTATGATACACTCTAAACACCCCTGCACTCACTCTGCTGTTGGTTTCAACTTTGGCTGCACGTAGAATACGTGGTGGAGCTTTTAAAAATCCTGATGCCCAGGCTGCATCCACCAGTTAAATCAGAATCTCTGAGGATGGTCCACCGGCATCAGGGTTTTTAAGAATCACTCCCCAGATGATTCCAATGCACAGCCAAGGTTGAAAACCACTGCTACTGTCTCGTCATTTCCCACTGGATTACTGCAAACGCATAATAATTGGCCCCTGGTGCCTTAATGTTTGGCGGCCTTCTCCATTCTTCCTCTATTCTAATCCACTCGACATTAATTTAATAAATACTGATTCAGTACCTGGTATGTTGGAGAGACATTTGTTGTTATAGGCACTGGGAACACAGTAATGAAAAAGACAGCCTTTGTTTCTGCTCTATGGAGCTTACATTCTGGAGGGGGCGGGCGTTGGGAGAGGCAGAAACTAGGTAGGCTGTTACTTCAGTGTCTCAAACTGAAGTCCACTCTGCTGACATTTGAGCTGTGTTCTCCAGGACAAGAACAAGGAAAACAAAAGATGGGGAAGGCAGATGGAATAGCAGGTGCAAAGGTCCTAGCAAGACAAACTTGCCACATCCGGGCAGCTAGAGGCTGAAGTAGAGTGAGTAAGAGGGAATACAGCCCTAACTGGTTTGGCTCAGTGGATAGAGCATCAGCCTGCGGACTCAAGGGCCCCGGGTTCGATTCCAGTCAAGGGCATGTACCTTGGTTGCGGGCACATCCCCAGTAGGGATGTGCAGGAGGCAGCTGAGCTATCATGTTTCTAACTGTCTATCCCTCTCCCTTCTTCTCTGTAAAAAAATCAATAAAATATATTTTTTTAAAAGAGGGAATATAAATGGCATAGGGTTAGAGAGATAGAGGGAGTCATTATTAAAGACCTTTTAAAGTTCTGATAAGCAGAATTCTAAATAGTTGGTACGATGTGTGATTGACTTACCGTTGCAAAGGATCACTCTGGCCCTAGCTGGTTTGTTCAGTGATTAGTGTCGGCCGTGGACTAAAGGGTCCTCGTACCTTGGTTGCAGGCTCAATCCCTGGCTCTGGTTGGGGCACCTGCAGGAGGCAACCAATCAATGTGCCTCTCTCTCTCTCTCTCCCCCTCCTTTCTATACTCTAAAAATCAATGTAAAAAATATCCTCCAGTGAAGATTAACAACAACAACAACAACAAAGGATCACTCTGTTTGCTTTGTGAATCAGATTGTGGGAGAACAAGAGTGGAAACAGGAAGACCAGTTAGGAGGCTACTGCAAGAATCCAGGAAAGAAATCATAGTTGTTTGGCCCAAGATGGAGACAGAAGTGAATGGTCTCGGTATTTGTTTTAGAGTCAGAATCTATAAGGCTGTGTAGAATGGAATAAAAGTGGGGAATGAGTGAAAGAGAACAACAGGGTTACAATAATAGCTACTCTTCATTGAGTACATAGTACATGTCAGGAACTGTTCTAAGTGCTTTATAAATATTAAGCCATTTAATTGTCATAAGAATCCTAAAAGGTAGGTGCTATTATTATCCCTTCAACATCTTAGGATTTGAAGCTCCAGATCCTAAGTAATTTGCTCAAGTCATGTAGTTGGTAAGTGGCAGAGCTGGGATTTGGGCCATACAGGCAGCCTGGCCCCTCCATTGGTGCCACAAAGTATGAATTTCTTCAGCTGCATCAAGTTTTTGTGGTACCATACATCCTCCTTTCTCCTGTCATTTTTTTTCCTTCTTTCTTCCTACTTTCTTCCTTCTCCTCCTCCTCTTCTGCCTGGCTCAATTACATTAACCTTTGCATGTTCTTACAGGCCAAGTCAATCCACAGCAACCCTGTGCTCACCTCTATAATTTGCCGTGTAAAGTACTTCATTGTTATGTGCAGGTCTTTCCCACTAAACTTTGAAGGTGAGGAACTTAATGCCAAGGAAAGAGCAAGGAAGCAAGCAAAGAAATCTAGCCATGCCCACATGGCGTGCCTTCCCTAAACATTGGGAGACACAAAAATGGTAAAGTGTTGTCCTGTCATGTTACAGGAGTACTGGGTAGGTTATTGGAGGCAGGAAGCTTTGCCTGGAGTTTGTTTCGCTGGGAAAAAAATGCAACCAGGAGTTGGAGCTTGGGGCCTTTATTCCCACAGTCATTTAATGTGGCTTGGGGAGGCAGTCTTGGGACCTCATCCAGGAAGACCTGGGAGATTCTCAGTAGGCAGAGTTGACTCACTGGAATGTGCTACTTCCTGGCCACTCACCCTTACCCGTCATTATGTAAATAAATTTACTGAGGTCCAAGTTGGTTCCTTTTCTTTCTGGCAGGGTCATAGAAATTTCTTCCTTTACGGTTCTTTCCTTTTTCTCCTCTACAAGGTTTCAGCATTTAGGTTCTAGCTGTGCAGAACTCCTCTGACCCACAATGTTGAGCCCAGCGTATACAGATGTGAAAGCCGTGCCCTGTGTCACCGTGCCCTGTGTCACCGCAGGATGTGCCACAGACACAGATCATGCATGGGTGGATGCGCTCCACAGTGGCCTTGCTCAACACACCACGGCTCCTTCCTTAATGAATTCTCTTTGGTCTATTACTTTGGGCCTTCATTAAGGGATTTATAAGAAAGTGCCATGGAGTTTGTGACTATAATAATCTCTCTAGCAAGATCTGGAAAGTATTTTTCCTTGGTTTTAGCACCTGATACAGTTATTTCCTTTGTTTATTATCTCTTTTGTTTTTGTCTTCTGAATACGTAATTGTGGAACTAACAGTATTTCCCTTGGTTGTGAAAAAGCTTAGAGCCATATATGTGGCCTTCCGGCCTGTGTATAAGATCAAACAGGATGCGTTTTATATACTTAACTCACTCCTGGCTTAAATTCTGTTTCCATTCCTTCACCAACTTCAGATTTCATTTTTCTGGCGCTATATTATATGTATCTGTAACCCATCTGTTATCCTTTTTGAAGCAAGACAGGTATAAAAAAAATGTGTATGAACACATGCCCACAAACAAACTGGTCCTGATTGCTAGTTATATAACTGAAAGGGATTATTTTTAAATGTACACAAAGAATAATTTTCTCACTTACAAAATATAGTTTTAACAAACGAATAACACTTACGTAATACTGGATTTAGCTTTTCGCATTATTCTCTAGAAAGTGAAAAGATTCCAAACAAAAGCAGACAAGAGATTGGGTTAATTTTCAAGCTGGGGTATTTTTAGATATGACCTAGAACCTTACACCAAATAATGTAACGAAGTACATTCACTCTTGAAATCACATAGCCTAATTAGGCAGCATTCAGGCTGTCACCTTCTCAAGGAAATCCTGTGCTGTTGGAGAGGAAGGCGGGTTAGGGAATCTGATAATAATGATGACCCATGAACAGGAGACCTTGGTGACAAGTGTGTGGCCTCTAACCGTCCCTAGACAACTGTTCTTCCCGATGCCTTGACAACATGGTGGGGTATTGGGGGCCATACCCTGTGGTTTGCAGCTGACATAAAACCACCTTAGTGAAATCACGAGGAGTATGTTTTACAACTAGTTTACTTAGGAGGTTGCACTGAATATACAAGACTCAAAGCTAGATAGTCTATGGATGGAATACTAAGTTACTTTGTGAATAAATTGAGCATCTAGTTAAATCTGCTTCAAAAAATTTACTCCAAATCTACATAGATCGTGTTCTCTATAGTGATTTCTGCCCCTCTTCAGCAATAAAGTGTTTTTTTTTAAATTAAGGTATGTACTTTTTTTTAGACATAGTGCTATTGTATATTTAAGAGACTACAGCAATTTTCAACGTTTTTATCTCATGGCACACATAAACTACTTACTAAAATTCTGCAGCACACCAATATATATATTGCTGATCTGACCCAAAAGTATAATTTTGATTGATTTCCTTAAAAATTACAATAGTAATTATCTACCCTTTTTGCTCCAAAGTGACTTTATAAAAAATTAGGTGCCTATGCTGGTATATAAGGATTTCTGGTACCAAGAATTAACCAATCAGACACAACCTTATAATGCGACGTGACCAACAAGATGCAACTCTATTATATGAACTGTTTATTTATGCTTCAAGACAGCATTCACACTGGATGACTATTGTTGTGTTGACTATTGCCATTATTTTTATTTGACAATATAAGGGAAAAGAGACCAGTGTCCCACTAAATAGTCAGGTATTGCATGTTTTAAAAATTCTTGCTAGCTTTTGAAAATACCAGTTGAAAATCACTGGACCATAGTATAATGTAAACATGCTAACTTTTATATGCCCTGAAAAACTAAAACAATTGTGACTTGCTTTATTGCATTAGTTGCTTTATTGTGGCAACCTCAATATCCCCAAGGTCTGCCTGTTACAGAGAGATGAATGCTCATAGATCAAGGTCCCATTACATCTGTTTCCTCATCTTTACAATGAGAGCAATAAACGTACCTCTTTCTTGGGATTTCTGTGAGAATTAGATAAAATACTAACTATAAAGCATTTAGCAGAGTGCCTGGCACATAGTAATAGCTCAGTAAATATTATCAAAAGTGTCATTTTCAGATGAGTGGATATTGGTTTCACTGGCTTTTATTTGAAGGTGGAGTATCATAGAACAATAGAATTTTAAAGAAAATTATTCCTCCCTGTAATAACATTTTTTGAAGTTTTATTTTTATATTTTCCACTTCCTTTCAAATCGAGTTTAATATTTTTGGCAGGATCTCAGCACTGAAACAGTAAGAAGACAAAACATTTAAGCAGAGAGAGAACAGTGGGAAGAGGCAATGTGGTATGAACTAACTCCTGCTGGAAGTGAACAGCCTGTTTGGCGGAGTGCTCCCTTCATCCTTCTTTTCTGCCATTTATTCTCTTCAGTGGAATTGTCACTTTAGCTCCATGTATGCTAGCTAGGAAACTCATCAGCAATTTCCAAAAACAAGTCTATTTCTAGGATGGTTTCAGTTTTAAAAATTGCAACTACCTTTGCCAGGGGAATCCCATCAGAAATGTATTAGAAGACATATTTAAACAGTTATTTCCTAGCAAATGTGGTCAGAATCCAAAATGGCTAATTGAAAGTCTATGTGATCTAAAAAGATGGGCATGAGATGACATGTCATACCTTGAATGTATTAAATGATACTTGGGGATGGGGATGAGGGGCGGGGAGTGGGGATTTAGAACCCTTGGTTAACTTGTTGACATTCATACTTGGGAGTTTTCAAAGTATGGAGCTAAAATGACTGTGCCAAGCCAACATTCCTATCAGTGATCAAAGAGAATAAGATTTTTAAAATAGTTGGATAACTAAGCAAGGGAGAAAAATATCTGAAGTCTCAGGGCCAGAGATCTGTATTCAATTTCAAATAGTTTCTTAGGGGTTTTATACCCTGTGATAAAAGCAAAACTTTTAACCACTATGTCTCAAGGCCATGAGAGGAAAACTGAACAATTACTATGCGGCTGTGATTTTGAGATGGCTTTGTTCAAATGAAAATTCCCACACACTAAAGCTGTGTTACCACATATTTTTTACCAAGAGGAGGAAGGTGCCTAATCCAGATGATTTTGTATATTGTTGATCCATACATCACACAAGCTCTTTTATGTTATCTTCTTTGTGTTTCAGAGTTAAACAGAAGAGGAATAATTTAATAGCAAGCATTTTGAGATTTCAAAACAATACTTGAGATATTCTATTTTCAGAAGTACAAATCTGCAGTGCAATCAGATTCAAGGATTTGGATGACTAAAGTAGATGATCAGTCATAAAGAGGTATTTCCTTTGTTTCCATCTTCATATTACTGACTTATAAACGCAATATGAAAATGAGTGTAGAGTTTTTTGTTTTCCTTCAAAATGAACAATGAAGTCCCTTGAAATATTACATTTTGAAGATTAGGAAATCTGGAGGAGGGGGGAAGTTCCTTTAATTCTCTTCTCCTTTCAATCTCCACTCCCACCTCACTCCCATTTAACAATGAGTCACTATATTTTCTTTACTAGACTTCTCATGTACCTTTGCATTTATTTTTCACAAGTGAAAATTTTCCAGCCTGAGAAACCTAATTATGTGTATTTGAAAAATAAATGGTATGAAAAAATTTAAAACAAAATAAAAAGAACACATTTCAACAAGAGGCGATAAGAAAATTCATTCAAAAAACTCATCTTTTAAATAGGAAATCCTAGAAGGGAAAGTACATTTGATACTGAAGGCAAAGAACTTAAAAGGCTAAAGGGTCTTAGCAGAGAATTTGACTTTTGGTTCTTACAAAGAGGCAAACACACAGTAATTCTGGATTTTGACTACCTGCTCATTTGTCCCTCCCTTCGACCTGGCTAGTCCCCTGGTTCTTGATCCTGGACAAGGTGCCCATGCCCAGGAATTCAGTTCTAGTTCTCTGCCCTCAGTAACTCCAAATCTCCAGCTTGTTCCCTGGGTCCTCAAGCCCAGTATTTACAAGATCTTGGCTCCATCCTACAGCATAGAAGATAGAACACAACTCAAATAACTGATAGATGTTTCCATCATTGTTATTAATCCATATTGCACAAAATAGCTGCAGGTGTTTGTGATGGAATGGGCAAGTATTTATAGACGTTTATATGTGCATAAAGATCTGAATAGCTCATAATTTAAATGACATAAGACATGTCAATCATGTCTTTAACTAATTACCTTCCTTTTCCCCTCCTTTTTAAAATTCATTTAATTAACAAACCAGGCTACAAAGAAAAACAAATCACAGTCCACGTCTGAATAGTCACATAATTTAGAGTAAAAATTTGAGTTGGATGCTTAGCCTGTTACAAAGCTATATGCTACACTGATGTTTTAAAGAAGTTCTTTGTCCTAAAGCCCTCAGAAGTACTTGTAATCTCCTGACCTTGACAGTCTATTGCTGCCTTCATTCTGTCTCCACCCTTGACCCCATTTCCAGCCTAGCCTCCATTGCTCTCACATGCATATCAGACCCTCTTACCCCTTTTCCATTCTGCTCTCTTGGTCATGTCAGTTCCCATCTGTCTGTTTTTCTGTTCTTGCTTCTGAACTTCAGAAAAATGATTTGCTTTAAATGCATGCCACCTAACCTCAAATTAGTAACCCCATTATTCATTTCTTGTTTACTACTAACAAAGCCATTCCCAGCACTTCCCACTCTTCTAAGTCCCTATGCCCACACTCATTAATTTTATTTAACAAATATTAATTGAGAATCAACAATATGCCATGCACTGTCCTGGGTGATGGGTTTTACAGTAGGGGATAAAACAGATCCATTCGCTGCCCTAACAAAATCTATAGTCTAGTGAGGGAAACAGAGTGGTTTCTCAACCCTGGCTGGATAGCTGAGTTGGTTAGAGCATTGTCCAGAACGCCAAGGTATCAAGGGTGAGGTGCGGACAGAGCACATAAAAGAATCAACCAATGAGTGCATAAATAAGTGGAATAACAAATTGATGTCTTCTTCTCTCCCTTCCTCTCTCTAATAAAATAAAATATATTTTTTAAAAGTAGTTTCTCGCCCTTCCTTTACTGGAAAACCCAGGTCTTTGGGGAAGCATCAACCTCCTCACCCTCCCTTCCCACATGTCATCTCTCGCTTCCTCTTCTTCAAGTCTCTCTGTCTTTGGTCCAGGCTCAGGGAAAATCCAGTATCATTTTCTTCCCCATGAGCTCTTGAATTCTTCCTCCTTTCCTCTTCTAAGACCTACCACCTTATGGTTCTTAATATTTTTTATTCTGAAATAACTGATATTTATTTTAGACACTTTAAACTGTCCATATTAAATGCAAAACTGTATTTTGACTTTTTTTGATAAAAGAAATGCAGAGTACATTTGCTAATATCTTTAAATTTAGAATTGGCAGTTTCTTTGAGTGCTAATCTTATATTTTTCCTTCTGAATTCTGTGTCCAGTCCCAAAATAATCAGTATGCGAGCCAGTGGATTGACATTCTTGGATCCGGTCTAAACATTCTGATGAACAGTTCCACAGCAGATATGTCAGCATGACTTCTTGTTCAATGGTTTTATTTGGATTGCCTTCCAGGTACTTTCTTTCTATTTTGCTATGAAAAAGTCCCACACATCTAGGCTCGGGCTTTCAGTTTTTAATCTTAGACAGGCTAACAAATACAAAGAAAAATCATTTTCATTTTCTGATCTAATTTTGAATTGGTAAGGAAGAATGTTTCAGTATCTAAGAATTCTTACAAAATTTCCTGTTAGATTTAGTCATTACTTCTTATGCACTATTTTTTTGCATTGAGGAACCAGGAACCAGGCCTGGCGTGGGTCTGTCTCAGGTCAGCCATCAGTGTATGGGTTCTTGACTTCATGCAGGAAAGATTTCACAAACAAGTCCAGGTGATTTTGAGAGTATGTTTATTTAAGCTGGGGACAGTGGAACAAAGGAAGGGCTTAAGGTAGAAGACGCAACAGGAGAAAGTCAGAGGAAAAGGGGGCCTTGGAGACAGGTTCAGGGAGTAAGCCTGGGATAAGCTGCCACTGCCCACTACTCCCCTGGTTGCAAGTCTCGTGGGGTCCTTTAGAATTTAGGAGAAAGAGAGCAGAGATACAAGGTGTGGCCGTACTCTAGCTAGAGCTTGCCATGGGTCTTTTGTCTTGAGGCTTTAATCTCTCTTTGGCTGGCCAGAATCCTAGGGGAGGTCTCAGGAGAGGGTCTTACCAGAATATTCATTAGCTTTCCAGGTGTGTTCAATAGGTTAATTCATCAGAATGTACATACAGAGACCTGAGGCAGGGGGTGGGCTAGAAGGGGTCGATGGGGAAAAAGGGGACATACATAATACTTTCAACAATAAAGATTTAAAAAAATGTATATATAGAGATGTCAGGGGTTATTTTCTGGATAGATTTATTTTCAAAGAACGTCATCAAATAGGGTCTGGGACCAGGCCGTTCTATCTGGGCACTGTCTAGAATGTGTAAACCATTTGCTATTAGGTGTCCTTGGTTGGGGAAATTAAAACTTTGTGATTCGTTGTCTGGCTGTAAATTGCTCAAATAGTTTGGCCTTGTTTAATTGTTTTGTCTCAATTTCCCTTATTTTGCGTGTCAAGGAATTGTCCTAGCTTCTTACTATCCTGCCACAAACAGACAGTTGGTATCTACTCCTGGCACAATTTACCTCCCTTCTTTGGGTTAGGAAAGAGGCTCCACTTTTGACCACATCCTCAGTGTCCCAGTTGCACATTTTGTTTAATGATCATAATTGACAGTTTCTCAGAGCCTCGAGCACTTGGGAACTCCTGGTGGGGAAGCAAGCTCAAGCTGTTAGGAGGGCGGTGTTGGGGCTGAGAGAGCATTGGAAATGAACTGAAGCAAAAGAGGCACCTCCTATCAGGGAGATGTCTGCAGTCAAAATCAAGTTCAGCCCTGGCTGGGTAGCTCAGATGGTTAGAGCATCATCCTGATACACCAAGGTTCTAGATTTGATCCCCAGTCAAGGCATATACCCTAGTATAAGAATCAACCAATGAATGCATAAATAAGTGGAACAACAAATTGATATTTCTCTTTCTCAAATCAATCAATAAATTTTTTTTAAATCATCAATTCCAAAGGACAAAGTGAATTTTACTTCACTTTGGAGTACGTCTACATGCAAAGGGTTCGTCTAAGAAGCCTGAGGTGACATGTAGGAATGCAAATCTTAGATCAGAGAGGCCCTTAGAAATTCTGGAAGCAGGTATAGCCCCATGAAAAGGTTCTTCTATGAACCAGATGAGGGAGTCATAAAGGAATCCGGACCCCTCAGATAACACAGGTACAGCACAGGGTCTTCAGTTCCAGTAAGAATGTTAGGGAGTAGGTATCTAGGAATGTGGGTGAGTAAAAGGCTCATCAGACCACTTGGTTACATGGTGATGGTAGTCAGGGCTCCCACTAAAGGGCTCTATTCTAAAACACAGGCCAGCTGAGACTGATTCTAAATGCCCCCTAGAGCTGTCCTGGCTACTTCTCTTCCCTCCCCTCCCCTCCTCCTTTTTGTTAATCCTCACCCACAGATATTTTTCCATTGATTTTTAGAGAGAGTGGAAAGGAGGGGGAGAGACGGAGAGAAAGAGAAACATCGATGTGAGAAAGACACGCCCCCACCAGCACTGGGGATTGAGCCTGCAACCGAGGTAGGTGCCCTTGACTGGAATTGAACCCGAGACCCTTCACTCCGAGGGCTGATGCTCTAACCACTGAGAAAACGGGCTAAGGCCTGGCTACTGCCCTTTCATTGGCCTTGGGAGAGGGGTGAAATGGTGTTCTCTCATCCAGAACAGTTGATACAAACTAAAGTGGGGGCAAAGGTTGCCAGTGACTGACCTGAAACCATAGGACAAAGCTCATCATCACACACACACACACACACACACACACACACACACACACACAGCTCTGGGCTAGAAAGGCTGCCCATTTATCAGTGGTACAACATGTGACAAAGGAGTTGGGTTAATGAGGGGTCCATTCTTTCGCAGCAGAGTCTACAGGTCTTATACCACCTGGTTATTAAGGGTCATGTTTTGGCAGGACCAATAACAGGATGGGTCTGAAAGAAACAACAAGAAGAGATTTAAAAGAAAAAATAAGAAAGTTCCATTTTCTTGGCTAAAAAAAAAACTACAACAAACCACACAAAAACATTACCACTTGCATAATTACAAAAGGCCTGACTTAGCAACCATTCATGAGACAAAAACACCTGGGTTTTTTGTTGGTAATAATACAGTGTTAAAAAAAAATCCAATGAAATCTTAAATTGCATTAGTATAACGTCCAGATAAAGGGAGCAAAAATAGCCCTGGCGAGGTGGCCCAGTCGGTTGGAGTGTCATTCTGTACACTAAAAAGGTCATAGGTTCAATTCCTGGTCAACACACATACCTAGGTTTGGGGATTTTGGTTGGGACATGTGCAGGAGGCAACCAATTGATGTTTCTCTGTCAACATTGTTTCTCTCTCTCTCTCTCATCAATAAGCATATCCTTAGGTGAGGATTTTTAAAAAGGTTTTTTAAAAGAGAGCAAAAACAAAAGATGGTCTCACTGAACTCAGCAGTGGTCAGGCCTCATCTGGAGGCTTAGTGCCTTTTAAGGAGACACACACACAAATGAGCATGAATCCAGAGAAAGACACTTAGGCTGAAAATCTTGTCACCTAATATGTAGTCAAAAGTACTTGTGGGCTTGGCCGAAAGAGAAAATGCTGTCAGGAATGTGTCTTCCGGCACTTAAAGGTGGACCATCCAATGAGGTAGTAGCCTTAAGGTTTGTTAATCTATAGGGCAAGCTGAGAACTAGATTTCAGTTTAATGAAAAGCAGGCATTTTAAAGAATCAAATCTGTTTGACAATAAAATTCAATACTTTCCAAAATCATGAACTATCCATTACTGAACACATCCCAGTGGATGTCAAATGGCCCTGTAATGGAGTGGGGAGGGGAGCTGAAGTTCTTCCCAGCCCCACGAGTCCATAATCATCTCAGCCACCCAGGTTCCTACCTGAACTCCATCCCTTCCCATGTCTTCCAGGGTTTGCTCCCACAATCTCCCTGTCTTCTCTGGCATCTTAACTTTTTCTTTCTCCAAAGATTCTTTCCAATTTTTATGTGTAAAGAAGGAAACAACTTCCCTGGGTCTTTTGGTTTTGCTTAGAGTGGGGTTTGAAACGGCATTCTACTTTCTTTGGGGGACTGCCTTCCTGCCCCATTAGGGGTGATCATATGACCCTAGCCTGACCTATTAACATTTTGAACATAGTTATTTCAAGGATGGGCACGTGACCCAAGTTGTCCAATGAAAATCAGTTCTAAGATTTTTACTGGAACTATCAGGAACTGCTAGGGCCACTTATCTGTTCATCACAAAGCTGGAGTTGCCAGAAGCCAGCATGTGGAAAGAGGCTATAAGAGATGGAAGCCAGCACAAAAAGTGGGTGTGAGGGTGGGGAAAGGGAAAGAATATCCTGATGATATTGTCCAATCTCCGACACTTTCCAGTTACACAAGCCAGTACATTCCCTCTTTGGTTTAGGCCGCTGACTCTTGAAGCCAGAGTAGTCTGAACAATATGCTTGTGCTTTCAGTTTCTTTCTAACTTCCCTCTTTTCTTCTCACTCCTTTGCATGGCTTCCAGGGCCCATAGCAACTTGGCCCTGCCCACCTCTCCGGCTTCATCTCTCCACAGCCCTCTCCACTTTGCTGTAGACACACAGCCCTGGTAGGGAACAGGCAGGCTGCCTCCGAGCCTGCCTGGAGTCTGACTCCCTTGCAGCGTTTTTGCAAAGAACTTTCTTTTCACTCCTAAATGCTTTTGTCTCTGAGTCTGCCTTGCACATTGACCTGTCTGTTTCTCTCTGTGGCTTCTCCATTTTTCTGTTCTTTAGATTAGAATCTTGGTAGTCTAAGACAGACTCCCCATCTGGGCTAGATGCTGGTGATATAACAGGGAAGTCAACGTTCACAGCCCCTACCATCTTTTCTTACATCCCGGGGCGGGGGGCGCAGAGAGGGGTGCTAACTGAGGCAGCTTTATCTGAATCATAATTCAGAGAGAATCCAAGCAGCTGCTCTTCTGAACCTTAATTTCACACAATGTAGAAAAGCCATCATCATACTCTCAACAGGCACATTTTCCCATTGCAGATGTATGATATAAAATTCAAAAGGAATAAGACATAGTGTGAAACTCTCTTTTTACTTCCCTGGCTCCGTTCCCATACCTTCAGCACCCCTCCCCCAGGCAACTGTTATTATCAGTGTCAAATGTATCAATCCCAAACAAGTTTGTGCCTGTTCAAGCAAATGCAGATACATATATATATCCTCCCCACCCCATCCCTTTCACAAGTCATAGTCTTTGAACCTTGCTTTTTTACTCAATATATCTTATAGAAATAGTATATCAGTACCTACTGTTCTTTTTAATGGATTAGTAATACTCAACTGTATAGATGCACATATATTATTTAAATAACCTCCTATTGATGTACCTTACATTGTGTCCAGTATTATGCTCTTACCAACAGATCTGC